TGTTGACCTTTTGCAACTTTTCACTATTCGGAATGTTGATCGGAGATTCCGATCACCGGTGAAAAATCTGACAGAATCACAAAAGCTTTTTTTCTTTTATTTTCTTTTTGCAATTTTCTTTCTCTCTCTCACGTATGGCTCATTTCTTCTTCCTTGTCTGTCCCCTTTCTTTCTATAGTAAATTACATATATATATATATATCATAAGAAAATAATTGTTATGAGTGGGAGAATAAAATATGGAAGAAAACCTGGAATGGTGGCATAAAACATGGAATGGTGGAAGGTTGAGTGGGTTTTTTATTTAATACTTAGTGGATGATTTGGTGGATAATGATATGGGTAGAGATGTAGTGGTAGGTTTTAAATAATAATAATAATAATATTTTTTTACTCAGATAAAAACGGGTGTCTACAGTTACCCCTCTTTGCACATTCTTGTGTTAACAAGAATAGGGCAAAAACGAAAAAGACAAACAGTTTTTGTCCGATTCACTTTTTTATTTCGGAGACTTGATATGCTTATGTTGTGGAGACGACACGGCTCATACGTGATGAAAAGTTTTGGTCGTCTAAATGTTGACACGACTCCTACGTGATGAGGAGATTAGGTCGAGTGATAACACGGTTCCTATGTGATGAGGACGACATGTCATCTAGGGGTGATAACACGGTTCCTACGTGATGAGGACGGTTGGTTATCTGAGGTTGACACGGCTCCTACGTGATGAGGAGATCAGGTTGGGTGATGACACGGTTCCTACGTGATGAGGACGGCAGGTCATCTAAGGGTGATAACACTATTCTTACGTGATGAGGACAGCTGGTTATCTGGGGTTGACACGGCTCCTACGTGACGAGGAGATCAGGTCGGGTGATGACATGATTCCTACGTGATGAGGATGGCAGACCATCTAAGGGTGATAACATGGTTCCTACGTGATGAGGATGGCTGGTTATCTGAGGTTGACACGGCTCCTACGTGATGAGGATATCAGGTCGGGCGATGACATGGTTCCTACGTGATGAGGATGGCATGCCATCTAAGGGTGATAACACAGTTCTTACGTGATGAGGATGGCTGGTTATCTACGGTTGACACGGCTCCTACATGATGAAGAGATCAGGTCGGGTGATGACATGGTTCCTACGTGATGAGGACGGGAGGTAATCTAAGGGTGATAACACGGTTCCTATGTGATGAGGATGGCTGGTTATCTGGGGTTGACACGGATCCTACGTGATGACGATATTAGGTCGGGTGATGACACGGTTCCTACGTGATGAGGACGGTATACCATCATTAAGGATGATAACACGATTTCAAGAGAAATCGACTCATAAATGATGCCTCAAGAGAAACATGTCTCAAAAGAGACAAAATTCGTTTCAAGGGGAACGATCTCAAAGATATTTGTTGTTTCATGAGAAACAATTTCAAATAAAATACGATTTGTTTCAAGAGAAACATATCAAAGTTTGGTTGTTGTTTCATGAGAAACGATCTCAAAGAAAATAAGATTTGTTTCAAGAGAAACATCTCAAAGTTTGGTTGTTGTTTCATGAGAAACAATCTCAAAGAAAATAAAACTTGTTTCAAGGGAAACATTCTCAAAGTTTGGTGTTTCAAGAGAAACCGTCTCAAGAGAGACAAAACATATTTCAAGGGAAACAATCTCAAATGTGGGTGTTTCAAGGGAAACTGTCTCAAGAGAGACAAAACTTGTTTCAAGGGGAACTGATTCAAAGATTTTGTGTTTCAAGGGAAGCGTTTTCAAAGTTTATATTTCAAGAAAAACTGCCTCAAGGGAGACAAAATTTGTTTCAATGGAAACTATCTCAAGAGAGACAAAATTTGTTCCAAGGGAAACTATCTCAAGAGAGGCAAAATTCGTTCGAAGGGAAACGTTTTCAAAGTTTATGTTTCAAGAGAAACTGTCTCAAGGGAGACAAAATTTGTTTCAAGGGAAACTATCTCAAGAGTGACAAAATTCGTTTCAAGGGAAACTATCTCGAGAGAGACAAATCCTCTGTATTAAATGAGACTATCTCAAGCGAGACAAAATTTTATTTTTCAAGAAAAGCTATCTCTAGCGGGATGACACTTTGTTTCGAGAGAAACAATCTCAGAGGCGATCGATAGTCTCCTCGTTCTTGCTAGTGGACACGATATCATTCGTTGTGAAGTTGAAATTGTGGATGGTTCCTTCATTCTGAAGTTGAGCTTTAAAGTGGATACCCTTCTTCATGAAGTTGAAATCCAAGGGTTGCATTGTTGCTAGTGGACAAGTTGAAATCGTGGATGACCCCTTCGTCGTGAAGTTGGGCCTCAAATTGGATATCCTTCGTTGTGAAGTTGAAATCTAATCTAAAGATGAATGTTGTTGGTGGATACGATATCCTTCGTCGTGAAGTTGAAATTCAAGGGTTGCATTACTGCTTGTGAACACGATATCCTTCGTCGTGAAGTTGAAATCGTGGATGGCCCCTTCATCGTGAAGTTGAGCCTTGAATTGGATATCCTTCGTCGTAAAGTTGAAATCTAATCTTGAGATAAATGTGGGTACGATATCCTTCGTCGTGAAGTTAAAATCGTGGATGGCCCCTTCGTCGTGAAGTTGAGCCTTGAATTGGATATCCTTTGTCGTGAAGTTGAAATCCAATCTTGAGTAAGTTGCTTCGAGTCCAATATCCTTCGCTGTGAAGTTGAAATTGACTCTGAATGAAATTAGAAAGTTGTTTGTTGACAAATGCTCCTTCGCTGTGAAGTTGAGCAACCACCATCAATTTCTGAATGTGATTTTGAATCGAGTATCTTTCGTCCTGAAGTTGAAACTGGACTCTAAAAGCTGCAAAAAATCATGTATGCTAAAAATGATAAATATGATGCTCTTAAGTATATCTAAGATGCATACAACATGAATTAGTTCTTGTTTTATCTCTTAAATGGAGCCTCATTCTCTGTCTGTTTGTTCCTGTATGTGGAGGAAATGCCTTCAGAAGGTCTGATTGTTTGCATCAGGATGTTAAATCCCCAAAGATGCCCCAATATTCGATGTTAAATCTCAAAATATGCCTCAACATTTGATGTTGAATCTTCAAATATGCCCTCTATTGCTTCAACACTGATTCTAAACACGAGCTTTATGTCTGAGAACCACATGTCAAATACCAAGATCCATTGTAGAGAGATTGTCTTGTTTGAAAAGTGTTTTTTCTTCTTCTTTTATTTTCAAAAGTTCTGAAAATATCAATTAGAAGAGATTCGAAAAATGTTTAATCAAAAGTTTTGAAAATATTGCCTCTTTCTCGGTTTTATAATTGAGACGAATCATAAAACTAGAGTTCATTGGACATCAAAGAATTAATTACACTGTTAATCCTTCAATAAATTTTAGCTATTTGACAAGTATCAAGATCAAAGCTATATTTGTGAAATGGTTAATGAAAAGATAAAAACAGTCTCAAGTTCTTGTGTCCGGTGAATGGTTTGGCCTTCTTATTTCTTTGATGTTCACTGATCTGATGAGGGTAGCTTGTATGCTCCTCTACTGTAAGTGTTTTCCGACTCCCAGCCTTCATGGTCGCGCTCGGATTGTGCGATGTCTTATCAAGGAATTTGTGTGATCGCCTCAGCTGCATCATTTTTATATTCGAGCCACCTTTTCATGTTTTCAACTCGAATCCTCCTTTGGTTTCAAAACGTCATCCAGAATTTACGTCTTGAACCCCCCTTTGTTATTTTCTCTATCATGCATTAAAGATTTTAGAAAACTTTTTGTAAATAAAAATTAATCCTGATGGGCGGGATGAAATCTGAAGATAGTCTCTTCTGTTTAAAAATCCATGTATGATTATAAGGGACTTTTAAGGCACGTAATGTAGGTCATGGTTCATGGTTATGAAAGAAAATGATAAATAGGCCCAAACAAGTGTCTTAGGGTATTGAACCAAGGATCAATTCATTCTGATACCTTCAATCCTGTCTTACCCAATTTGAATATGCTCGTATGTGTGTCTCTCTTGATGCTCTAAGATCTTCGAGTGAAGTGATTCTGGAATAATTGTGCTTGATCAATCTCATAGTTTGATGCTCTATGTGTCATTTGAGTCGATTCTCGTCCCTTTTTTTGCTTTTTCTTTTTATTTTTTTTTATTTTTTTGTTTCTTTTTTTAATTGGATCCTCGCACTTGGCATTTGGTTCACCTTTTGATATCTCCTCTGATTTGATGTCTTCACTCATGTGAGCAGATTTCTTCCACCTTGCCCACCAGTGTGGGGGTGATCCTTAATTAGGGTTGAATCAGAAGAAAAAATATTATAGGCTCAAAAAGGGACGACAAGGGATAAATATATATACATTTATGGATAAATGAAACAAAACCGTTCATCATCTCATACACAAAAGTCTTCGCAGAAGATGTATCCCCAGGGGGATAGATTTTCAGGATTAATTTTATTCACATGAAAAATGTAATTAATGCATGATAGAATTATTTCGAATTAATTCTCCTTTCTACTTCTTGTTCCCAACATGCCTCAATTGTACAAGCTCGTCTTTAGAAAATTGATGTGCGATGCCCCAAGTTGTGTCTTATAGTAAGAAGGTTCATGTTCAAGTGAACATCTTGTACCTAATGTCTTAGGTTTTATTGGTAAACAATGTTGGGTTTACATCTAAAAGGACGATGATGTGACTTTATTGACTCAAAGGTATCGGTATGACTCTCCATGGATTATTCTGGGTAAAGAATCGAGGGATTTTTTTTAATCGGGATAAGAAAGGTCTGATCTTGTCATATGTCAAAAATCTATAATTCTTGAAGAATTAAAAGAATCCTTAATTCATTTAATATTCGAAGAACTAAAGATTAAAATTTACTTAATTATTCCTCCTTATAATGTAGCATAAGCTCAGCCGTTTAAAAGATTAAACAAATATGAAAGATCAAAAACGTGTTCAAACAAAACAATGCTCTCAGTGCAAATAGTAGATACAATGTCCCTTTCTTCAATTATCCATGCCCCTGAATCTATCAGGTTTTGGATCTTGCGCTTCAACCCCTCACAATTCTCAGAGGAATGTACAGAGCTTCCTATGTTGTACTTGTACACCGCTTCAACATCATGTTTCAACATCATCCTTAAAGAAAGAACTTTAAAGGACCAGATGGAAAAGGATCCTACAGAAGTCATACGCAAAGCTGTGCTACGCATGCTTCCTAGAAACAAATTGCGGGATGTAAGTATTTTGAACCTGATTAGACTATGACCTGTGTTTACCTGCAAACAAGCTGTGCTACGCATGCTTCCTAGAAACAGACTTCTGCTTTGTGATGTTCAGATTCTCATGTTAATTCAGTTAGTCCATTTTTTAAAAAAAAATGGTTTGCCATGGTTTGGATTTCTGATTGCTTCTAATGAATGCAGGATAGAGATCGAAAATTGAGGATTTTTGCTGATAGTGAGCACCCCTTTGGTGATAGGCCCGTTGAACCATATGTGATGCCTCCCCGAAAAGTACGAGAAATGAGGCCTCGTGCAAGAAGAGCCCTGATTCGAGCTCAAAAGAAAGCTGAGGAGCAAGAGCAAGGTGGCAGCCAAAGAAAAGGCAGGAAGAAGGAAGCCAAAACAGAAGTAGCAGCATGAAGGGTGATTGATCTCATCCCCTCCCCAGATATCCAGTGTTTTTCCTGTTCAAAGGAAGAACAGGAACTGCAGATTTCATTAGAATAATTGTCTTTGTTTACAGGTTTGCAAAGTTTCTTTCTCGCCCAAACATAGCTATTATAGTTTTGCTTTTTGAGGTTCTAATATTCAGGCGCAGCAAAACCCCCGTAGTCCGAACTCCTTTTAATGTGTGTTAAGCTATTTCTTTGCTGTTAGTACTACTCGCTTAGCGTATGTTTATATACTATTTGATTTGATATCCACTGCACTGGCATGTGTGATTTTGGAACTTCCTTGGCATCATTTTGCATGCTTTATTTTGGTTAAAAACATCCGTGCTGTTTGAGCTATCGGTTTATATTGGGTGACAAAAATAAGTGTCCTAATAGTTGGATTAGTTTACCCATGCTTTTTTCTTTTTCATTTAAAATCTATTACCTTGTAATGAACGTATCCTAAGGTGGCGTTTGGTTTGCTAGAATCCCTTGAAATTAGAGGGAATTGGAATCTAATTCCACCACTTTCTCATGTTTAGTTCAAGTTTTCAAAGGGGGAATTGAAATTCAATTCTATCAAGGAAGGGAAAGTAAATTCCATCCATAACATGATGGAATTGAAATCCTTTGGAGGAGGGAATGTGAAATTTGACCATACTACCCTCATCAATCTTTTAGTATTCGGGTCGGATTTTTTTTAAAAAAATCGGGATTGGGTCAGATTTTTAAAAAAAAAATTCATGTTCGGGTCAGGTTGGGTTTTTTTAAGTTTGATATTCGGGTTGGGTCGGTTTTTTTAAGTGTGATATTCCGGTCGGGGTCGGGTCGGGTCGGTTTTTTAAGTTTGATATTCGGGTAGGGTCGGGTTTTTTTAAGTGTGATATTCGGGTCGAGATTTTTTAAGTGTGATATTCGGGTCGGGTCGGGTTTTTTTAAGTGTGATATTCAGTTCGGGTTTAGGATGAAAAATACCCGACCCGACCCGAAAAATATACAATTTTTTAAAGAGTGATATTCGGGTCGGGTTCGGGTTTTTTACTATTTTGAGTCGGGTCGGTTCGGGTTTCTAATTCATATATTCGGGTCAGGTCGGGTGAAACTTTATTTTGGTCAGATCGGGTCTTGGGTGGAGGTTCCCTTGTTCTCGGGTCGGGTCGGGTGGACCACCAACCCGACCCATGGCCATCCCTAATTAAGATGATTTTAACTTATGATGTTTACTAGTATGATTTTTATAATTTATTAAAATAAATAATCAATCAATCAAATGAAAGTTTAATATTTTTAAATTTTTATAATATATTGTTACATGTAAGTTATAAAACAAACTAAAATTAAGTAAAAAAAGAAGAAGGGTAATTCTGTCATTTTACATTACTGAAATCAAATTCATTTAACATGTCTGCGAACCAAACAATATATGGAATTGGATTCCAATTCAATTTTCTGCCAACCAAACAGGTTTCAGATTCAGATTTCAATTCCTTCAGATTATAATTTTTTCACATATTTCAATTCTCTCATAAACATTCCAACAAACCAAATGCCACATAGTTGGGTGACTAATATATATATATGAGAATGAGAATAAAGAAAAGATAAGAGAGATATAACCCGAGAATATAAGAGGGACTGGATTCCAAGTTGTATACTGATTCATAAATTCGGCGTCGTTTTTGCTCGTCCCTGCCTGACGCAAGACAAACCCAAACTTCTAGGTTCTATCCCGTTAGATTAGGTGGTGGTCTTAGAGCGTGTTTGATTTATGGATGTTTAGTTTAAAAATGTAAAGACGATTATTTCTCAAGGAGGAATGAAAATTACTTGGTTTGATCGACATAATATAAGATTATTTGAAAATACATTTTATTCAATTATTTTTATGATATGTATTTTTTTAATATTAAATTTGAAAAATATTTATATGAAAATTTATAAAACTCGTTTCATTTCATTATCTAGATTTTAGATTTCAATATTTTGTTAATGTATAAAAAAACAGTTATATGTATTATTAATATAGTTAATATACGAGTTTATTTTTATTTGTAATAAAGATGTTCATTGATTATGTCGAGTGGTTTAAAAAAATAAAGCCTTGGGCTCCACCGATCTTGTCTATATTATTTATTCTTAACTAAAAATATAATAATAAAATTAATTTTATATCAATATGAACTTAGAAGTGAAAGGGAATGTTGTTTTCTTTAAATGATCCGAGTATGAGTACTTACATTTATAAGATGTGTGTTGTCAATAATTTAAAAAGAGTTCAAATAAATATTATTTTATAATCATTACATATTATTAAAAAGGATCAAAATGAATGATTTATAAAAAAATATATAATTTAAAAATATTATTTAAATCAAACACATTATCGAAAAGCGATTAATTCACATTTCACAAAATAGTTATCGCCGACGATGATGTTTTTAAGAAAGAATTCCCAAATTTAATTTGAAAGGATTCTTCTAGCAACCAACAATAGTTTTCCCTAAAATGAAGAGAATTTCTTAACTAATACACAATTCTCCTAAAAGGATAATATCTCATTACCAACAATAATTTCCTCTTGAAATAATAAGAGTTTCTAAAATAAATGCACAATTCTTACAAATTTGATCCATATTAACGCTGAGTTCAATGTCGTTGGTACAAGTTGGCTAATATTGCTTGGTTCTAAGAGCTTATTGGATTCAGTGGTTTTACACAGATTTATTCAGTATTTTATGGTTGTGTACAATTTGTAGAATTGAGTTGTCACTCATATTATGCTCCATGTACAAATTCCCGTTTGGCGTGCTTGTAAAATTTCTAGTCTACCCCCTTTCTTCTCTTTCTTTCTCATACCTCAACAAGATAAATAAAGCTTATTAAGGAAAAGGCAATAACATTGTAATTAAAGTTAACAGCCCTTATGCAGGAAATATAACACCTAAGCTCATACAAAAATAGCAGAAACAGGGACAAAGCCCACTCTCTCTCTCTCTCTCTCTCTCTCTCTCTCTCTACTAACCAACAAGAAAAGAGTGTAACAGTAATAAATGTTTTTTTTTTTTTTTTCATTTGAATATTAGAAGTTAAACTTATTAAGCACTGCAAATTCAGTCCTTAAAGTTCCTCCTTGCCAAAATAAAACAAGTGGCAAATAATGCTTCAATCAAGGGAATTTAGAATACACTGTGTTAAAAAAAATGGATAAGAATCATTGGAACCAAAATAAAAGACGCATTGAGCAACCAAGAACAAAGAGACGCATCGAACAACCAAAATAAAAACGAATTTTGCTGGTAATCAACATGCACAACCACCTCTTTGTTCTGTCTCGGTCACAGCCTCTGGGATGCCCTGGAAATATCTGCAATCATACACAAATGAGATGTCAGTTATAAAGAGACATAAATTGCGTAGCCTCCCCGTCAATCTTAAATGTTAAAACCATCTACACAAAAATAGGTAGACACATAGACCCAGTAATTTTTTAAGGTGAAAGTGGAAGAAGAAACTGTTCATTCTGCATAATTCTAGAAACATCATAGACCCAGTATTTTTTTAATGTCGCAGAAAGATGATGTTTCCAAGGATATACCATTAACGTAGTCCAAACTATAACAAGTCGTGTTGAAATGTTTCTGTTTTTCGTTTTCGAGTGTTGATGACATATTCCTTGGAAACATCGTCCTCTTGCCTAACAGTTATAACGTCCCAAAAGCTAATGATCATAGCTGTGCAGTATAAATGCAAGGCAAGATGATAATTATCTCGAAATCTGCGGTTATTGATGAAACAGTGCATCTTTTTCAACAATTCCATGTCAGAACAATACTAATGTAATTGGAAAATTCACTATTCGCTACAACCAGGGAATATAGTTCAAGATAAACAAACTTACATGTCCTGCTCTCGCTCATTTGCTAGCAGTTTTGGCAATACAAAGGAATGCTGCATCAACATTGATATCTTCTTTTGCTGATGTTTCAAAGTAAGGCATGTTTCCTTTTGAAGCACACCAGTCTTTTGCTTTCTTCTCGGAGACCTACATGACTCAAAACATCACCTTTTAGGCTGAGGTGTGAGGACAAAAGAAAGTTAGGAAGTGTATATATCATATAACCTTACCACTCAACTATTACCGCCATCTATATCTATCTTGTTTCCAAGCAATGTAAAGGGAAACGTCCCGGGGTCAGTTGGATTTGCCTGGCAATGAAAATGAAAACATAAACCATATCAACATTCAAAACAAATGAAATCACTTTTTCAAAGAAATTAATATACAATTTAGAAAATGAAACCATAAAATAAGAGTAAGCAACCTCAGAAATTGGCTGCTTGGAAAGATCATGCACATTGGAAGGTCAGCAGGATGTTTCGTAACCCATTCCTAACTAGACAAGCATTAACGTGATGTAACTAGGCAAAGGAAAAAATCACACTCCATGATAGTGCATTCCTTAAATATGCTGTTACATTACTCATAACTACTAAGATGCTCTTTTTGATCCGTTTACTTAAACCCATATTGCTCCTTTAAACCAGCTTTGACTAGATAACTAACAAATGCTGGGAAAATGCATCTATGACCCAAAAAAACATATTGGGTGAAAAAGTAGACCAAATCAGGAGATTGGTATGCACATTTGAGGTTATATCATTCACTCTTGTGGCCAAATGTAATTGTTCAACATATTTCAAAATAAATTTGTAATACTGTATGTTTTATTCCTGTTAGCAAAGTGAAAAAAATGAATGACCATAATATGGTCATGTATTTGGGATTGATAGTCCAGCTCATCAAAGTAAGACCGATACCTCTCAGTTCATCGAAAGGGAGATTAAAATCTCCGGACTTGTTATAGAGATATCAATATTTCTTTAGGGTTTTGATTGAGACATTCGGCTTAGGGTTTATTATTCCATACGTCCCTTTAAATAAGGTCCAATCTTAGTTAGGAAACCTATTCTACAAATGACATAAATTAACTGAAATAAAATTGTGATCATAAATAGTAAGAAAAGAAACAAAATAGCAACATGAGCCTTAATTACAGAAGCAAAATTAATGGCCTTTCCTAACATAGATTCGGCCCATAACAGACCATGAAA